TTTTGCGGTACGCGGGCCTCTCACTGTTGTGGCCTCTCTCGTTGTGGAGCACAGGCTCCGGACGTGCAGGTTCAGTGGCCATGGCTCACGGACCTAGCCGCTCTGTGGCATGTGGGATTTTCCCGGACCGGGGCACGAACCCGTGTCCCCTGCATCGGCAGGCAGACTCTCAACCACTGCGCCACCAGGGAAGCCCCCATTGTATATTTCTATTCTGTATCTTCAAGTAGTCAGACATCTAGTAAAAGGATTTAATAGCTTAAATTGTTGTAATTGAAATGCATATTGCTGCTTACTCACTTCTAACTTTAAGAATTTAGAAACTCATAAATTGAGATTTGAAAGGGTCCTCATCTTATAAATGAAGAAAATTAATCACAGGAAGATAAAAGCCTTATCATGGCAGTCAAAGCCCTCTCACTAGTAGGGTTGGTGGGTTTCTGTGAACCAACTGAGCTGCACTGTGTTTTGTTTTCCCACTTGGCTAAGATGGCCCACAAAGCTAGTAGGAGGTTGTATCCACGAGTTGAAAAAGCTTAATAGCATTAAACTCAGTTGACTAAAACATGTCTGTCTTTGCTTTTGGCTGGAAAATTTCATCTTAGAAGAATAATGATGGTTAGCTTATGCCAGTCTGATAACTTCAGGCTTTACAGAAAACTCTGGGAGGAGTGTAGACCAGGCACTGACAACGCCTTGTACCGGGGTGGTCACACCACCTAAATGGTTCACACATGCTACCAATGTGGAGTAACAAACAGCCAATGGCAAAAATGACTTCAGCTGTGAATAATGCTTAAGCCTCTGATGCTTTTTTACGTTGATTACCTTTGCACCATCAGTTAACAGTGATAATGATGAACCTTGGATGATTCTAGGTCATTGGTTAAAGGTGGGATCAGCGTTGAAACTAGGAAACAACAATGATGCAGTTAAAGCTAATCAGTTATTGCTTAATAAAGGCAATTTGTCGAACCTTTGGAAAACATTGCGATGCTGAAGGAAAAGTAAAGTCCATGGTGGTTAGAAGGTAGGGAGAATCTGAGAAACATAATGACTACCATAGAAGAGGTTAAGTATGTTCCATAGATGTGGTTTACAGATGGCAGGTCTCAGTTTATAACGATTTCAGGTGTGCATGACTTAAAGCGCTAACAGTTTTGGTTGGCTAGTCTATAGGTTTCTAGTCAGTAGTTGCTTTGTTCATTATTTGTTTTATTAAATTTAGTAAGTCAGATGTTGAAGCCGCCTATCTTAAACTAGAAATAATGAAGAGGGAATCAAAAAGACTAAAATGGTATCTAATAACTTAACATGTGATTCATCTACCCTTGTTCTTTGCATTTTTATGTGTCACTGTAATCTCACTAAACTGCCTTAAACCTGCTTATATAATCACTCCCACCACTTTGCATAATTTTCCACACTAAGTTTGAGAAATGTATACAAATACTGTGAAATTGCAGACGGTGGGGAAGTAATCTCCTTTGGTAGAACCGATCAGGAAGAGACCACTGTGGGGAAATAGCGTTGGGTGAAATAATACACAGCGGGTTCTGCACTTGGCGCGTCTGAGTGTTTATACTGCAATAAAGTGGCCACTTTTATCCCTCTTTGGAAATGGCAGTACTTTCTGTAGCTTATAAAAAAAAAATCTCACTGCTTAGGTGATCCCCAGGCTCAGAAAAGACAATTTTATGAAAAAATGAGCTAGATTTACAAAGGCCAGGAATCACTTACCTTATGCTAGGGGTCATTGTTCCTTAGTGCTATGTTGTGCCATCTTTGGGGCTTAAGATACGACTGTGGCCTGATGTATTCTCAGCGTAGTGCATGATGTATAAGAACCTAGTTAAATGCTTGTTGGATAGGAAGTGTCAGATTTAGTCCCTGTCTCGAAGAATTAGGGAGGTATAGGGTGGAGGAAAGAATATAAAGGCAAAGAGTCAACCTCTCTTCTGTGGAAATTAATGTTCCTAAACATGTTTTGAGACCACCAGGCCTCACCCCACCCTCTGTAAAGAAAGCCATAAAAAGGGTATAGAACTAATGACTTCGAAGAGAAGACTGTCCCAATGCCACAACCAACTCCGAGAGACAAGCAGTGTAGAAGCCCCACAGCATGCCTTTGCTCTCTTGCTTGCAGGTTTCCAGGAGATGTGGTGATAGTTTCAAAAGCCCACCCTCTCAGGGAGTTAGGATAATTCATGGTTTGCTCCTTGCGCTTTGGTACTTTATGGTGCAGAAGGGATGGGTTATGTTGTTTGCTGCTTTTAATAGGGAGTACATTGTCCTGTGGGGAGTGAGTTGGAAACCACACATTAGAGTGAGTCCTCAGACTGGACTTTATCTCAGAGAAAAAAAATGCTGCTTGTTTCAACTGATTCATCTATCCCTCCGCAGGGTGTCTTGAGACCGCGGCACTTAATTTGGTGGAATGAGTTGTGCTAATGAGAACTCAAATGGATTAAGCGATATTGGAGTTCGCTTCTTTCCAAAATGAAATCAGCTGTAATTTTGGTATACATTGACTGCTTATAAAGTGAAATAAAATATTGTAATTCTGTGTGTTCCCTCTTTTAAATGGAAGCAGTTCCCTTCATTTCTACACTCACAAGATAAATGGCATA